GAACTCCATGTGGTGAATTCATCAAAATTCATTCTTACAAAATGAAGAATAAATTATTGCGGTTTTTTTGAGCTATGAATCTTCTATAAATGTCTAAAACTGAAAGAGGAGATACATTTTTTCTGTAAAAAATCTGGAAAATTGGCCATTTTTGGAACATTTTCTTCCGGAAAATGGCCATACAGGATTCTATAGCCACTAACTAATTTTTCAAGAATCATTTGAACCATCTTGAATCTCCACAAAATCAGATAAAAAATCCTGAAAATGTGGCTTTAGACCTGCAATTGTGATCGCGCCAAACTTTCTTTCTGTAGACCAACAATTAATTTGCAGTTCGGAACTATTCTGTGGGAGACCGTGTACTTGTAAAATTCCTGGCCGGCCCGCCAAAGCCCGGGCCTGAGGAAATTTTCAAGGCCCGATCCCGGCCCGGAAGGCCCAGTAGCAAAAATTTTGTCCTTTTGAGCCAAATTTTGAGCTCTCAATACAATTCTCTCCATTTTTTTTGTTTTTTTGGATTGTTTGTCTGTTTGATCAAAAAATCTTTTAAAAAACTCGAGAAAAAATTTTTGCTCGAAAAAAATCACGTAAGGGTCCCCCCTTATGTGTTTTCTGAAATTATCAAAACTTGTGGAATGACAGGCCCGCCGGGCCGGGCCTCCGAAATTCGGGAAAAAGCCCGGTCCGGCCCGTTACAAGTATGATTTTTTCAAAGTTTCAAAATCTAATCAGTCACAAAGTGTTCATAAATAGACTCTAGTTATTCCAAAATTTTGGAAAAATCCCATGAAATACTTTCTGTTAGAGCATTTTGATTATATTCTGTCAATGCCACAATGAAACATTTCCTATTCCTTGCTCAAACTGTCAGTTCAAAATTTCAGATTTTCCTTTTTTCTTATGAACTCAAATGATACGCGAATGGAGAGAGAGAGAGAGAGAGAGAGAGAGAAATCACATTTTTCTAGTAAAAATTTCTTAAAACTTAATGAAACGTATAATCGAGACATTGGTTCCAAATTTTGATCCCAAATATTCAAATTTGATTGTCCAATTGGAAAAATTACTGTTCCGAAAGCTCACAATGAGCAGTTTTGTGTTATTACTGTGTTGAATTTGTATTTCAGAATTCAAAAAATTTCAATTTTACATTCAATTGCAAAAATTACGTGTTTCAAGTTCAATTGATATTCACATATTTTTATTTTGTACTAATGAACGATCTCAAATAATTTGGGCAGACAAAAAAACGATAAACATAAAAATGTAATTAATCTTTATCACTAACTATAAAATCGTATAACAAAAAGTAACTAGTAATTCTCGAGAAGATAATTATTATAAATTTCATTTGGGAATTGTGATGCCGAGTGGAACAGCTCCATACTGTTTCATACAATTTTCATTGATCAAACTGTATTCACAGCATGTAGGACATTGGAAATTTGGGTCAACACTGAAAATTCGGAAGTTGTATTTAGCCATTTTTTGGTGCATTTCCAGATGGAGAGATGGCGATCCGTGGATTTCGATGAAAATCTAAAAAGTTACATTTTCAAAATCTTGGTATATATAGTGAAGGCTATTCGATGATTAAAATTCCAAATTAAAACTTCTGTTTCAACACTTTGATATCCTAATAATGGTCATTCAGAAATATTCGCTAGGCATTTAATTCTCACCTGACAAACCGAATGCTCCTTGATCAATGGCTCCAACCCAGCGTGCTCTCCACCTTCGATATCGGCTTTTAGAAAATCCACTTTTGATTTTCCTGTCTTTTTTAGAATGTCTAGAAGGCCAAGAGTCTCTGGAATCTTTCCAACAAACAGTAGACCATTGATAGCAGCGTATTTGGATTTGGTTGAATTACTTTGTTCGGCCTGTAAAATGAGATTTAAGAAAATTAGGTAGCTCTTGAAACTAACAATATCGGCTCCTAGAATTGTGCATTTTCCACCGGTGACCTTTGAAATGTGCTCATCGAACTCAATTTGATTGTTTAGTCCCAGTGACATGATTCTGGAAAAAAATATACTGTTTCGTTTTTTAATTTTATGCAAAACTTTTGCAACATGGATCATTCCCACAGCTTGAAACATTTGCTCAAAAAACTTTTCGTTTGGACTAGTTTTTTGCATAGTTCATGGAAATAATAAATTTTCAAGCAGATGAAAAAATTGCTGTTTCAAGATGTGATTTTCTAGAACATCGATTTTTGGAGAGTGATGGATTTCTCCGATTTTCGCGCCTCCTCCTCCTCCTATTTATACAACACCAAATGAAATATTAGATGATGGGCGGTCGTAAAAAGAAGCCTCTCTTTATGTACAAATAGATCGACACCTTTAGTTTTTTGTTTTTTTTTTGCGAATAGCTCCTTGAATTTTCTAGTTCTCCATTGGCATTATCAAGGTGTCGCTGTTCTTTAATGATAAATTTGAAACAGAAAAAATATTTTTTTAACTTTTTAAAGTGAAAATAATTTTAACTTTAAAGTTGTACGAAAGTAGTTCAGAAATTTTAGATTTGTCTGAAAATTGCAGAGTTTACACAACAAAAATAGAGCTTCAATTTTGTAGTTGACAACTTTTTTACACAAATTCATACGAATGAAATGTTCGCTGTTTCTGTAAGTTATGGTTTGATGCGGTTTATATCATTGAGATGAATTTGTACAAAAAAGTTGTCAACTACAGAATTGAAGCTCTATTGTTTTGAAGAATTTTCAGACTTTTCTGGCCAAATTCACTATATTTTTCTAAGTACACGCTCTCCCCAGCTCCCAATATGAACTGCATGCCTTTTTCTCAGTGGAGCGCGGTTGCTTAGCCGGTTTAACAATTCCTATGAACGAAAAATTGAAAAAAATTGGCGAAAAATAAGAGAATTTTGCTAAAACCGCTGAGAAAAAGGCTTGCAGCTCATATTTTTCACTGGGGAGAGCGTGAAGTATGATATTTTCACCTGAAAATACACCGTTAAAGACAAAGCTACGAGGTTATACTTTAAGAAAGTGATTTCTGGATTACTGTACCTCTTCCTAACTTACGTGCAATCGTCTTGATTCACTGCCTCTGGCTTACAAACATATTTCCCGCCATCGGACTTCTCTCCTATTCTCACTTTATCCTTACAAATGACTTCTGGCATGACTCGTTGATAGAATTCTTGATTGATTCCACGTTTCACTTGCTCCAGAAGGTCTTTTTGACTTTGAATCGAGTAGTAGTTGAAATTAGAATCAGTGTTTGTTAGTTTCTTGAGATCCTTCTGGGTTTCAGAAAGTTGGAGGTCTGAAAATTACTGTTTCAAAAAGGTAATAAATTTTGGAATTTTGGAAGAAATGATCAGTGTAGGTGATTGAACTTTCGGTGAATCTCAAAAATCCTATTTTCAAAATCAATTTTTCCTGTTTCTTCAAAATCAGAATATCTTCTATCACAATCAGTTTCCAAATTAAATATTCTAAAAACATACCTATTTTATTGGTTCCAAAATAATTGGATACCGTAATCATCAGAGTCATAAGAAGCAGGAACATGCTCAACGAGCCAGAGTTTGAAGCCATTTTTTTGAAATATCTTTTTATAAAACCGAAAACATTGTGACTTTCTGGTCGTTTTTTTTTCCGGGAGACTTCCGCCAGAAAAAATAGAATATTCCGTGAGGAAATTGTTTCTTTTTAGAAAAAACAAAAAACGGGATAGGCGGAAAATGGTTTTTTGTTCAAAGCACAATGACGCGTTTTCACAATATGGAAATCGGGTATAGTACAAACTTCGTCAAAATAAAATCACAGTTTCAAAATCTTCAGAAATTTTTCAAATGATTTCTTTCAATTAGTCGTTTGAGTGTTTATTCAAATTTCAGAAGTATTTTATCAGGTGACACATTTCGGTATCTTTGACAGTAACCAAAATAATTGCTACAAATAGTTATTTAACGTAATTGTTCAATTGCGAATAAAAAAACCTAAATGAAACAGAAAGTTTTCAACAAGTTTTTTTTCAAAAATGCTGTCCGGGACTCTGAATTTTACAGTTTCATCATGCTTTCTTTTGCTGAAAATTTTCAATGTTTACGATTTGGCCAAAACGAAAAGACTTTAGAGAAAATGACTAAAAATGTTCAACCATGTTCCGACACTTAGGTGGTGAGCCTGTGGGGGGGGGGGATAGGCCCCAGGCCCCAGACTCCCTCGCTTTCCCTGTATTCCAGAGAAAGCAAGAACTGATTCCCTCTCGCCTAACGTTTCGAGGGAATCTGTTTTCCTTGCTCCCCCTGAGCAAAAAAGGATTAGTAGAACACAGACTTGCTATATTTGAGTATTTATTTTTGCCATTTTTAGAGGTGTAAGCTGAAGCTTAAGCTTGAAAGTTACAAACTCGTAATGATAATACACGTGATTGTACAGTATACTCGTATTGGTAAGTATTGGTACTGGGGGTAAGTAGAACACAACAATTAAAAACTAGTCACAATTGAATTAATGAACTAAAGATATACGCTGAGATTTGACTATCTTGATTATACAGGATTTTAAGATAATGACCTAAAACAAACAAATTAGCTAAGATAGCAATTAAGCAACAATTTTGAATATTGAGAAGGGGGCAGAAAGAAGGTAGGGGGGAAGGAAAAAGAATGCAACGAACGAACATATTATTATTATACTTCCTTCTGCAAAACTGGTGGTCCATCGTCATCGGAATCTCCCATTTTCATCCTCCAACTTCATCCCCCAACTCCGTCACTGTGAATCCTTGAGCTCTCGGAGAATCGCTCAAATAACATCGCAGTCCGGCGTCTGACCTCCACCGACCAGTCTCCTTAATAGCTTGGAAATCCACTCCAGACTGCTGAAGATGGTTGGCACGTCCTCGTCTGAGTGAATGGTGTGTCGCGGATACTCCAGCAGCCGCTAGCGTATCCTTGGCAATTCCTGAAATCGCTGACGGCGTCAGCTTGGTTCCGTTAGGATATTTTGGAAGACAAAATCCAATCCGGGTCTCATCGATGCACGTGCTCGGAATCTTTTAAGCAGACAATCTCTTTTAGATCCCTCCGGCCAATCACAGAACGTCTCTCTTCCTCTAGCTAATTGATCGTTTTTGGCCCTCCTTATCTTCAACTTCAGCATATTTCCTGACTGATGGACGTCCGACCACTTCAACATCGAAGCCTCTCCAGCTCTCAAAAGACCATAAAACGAAAGTGTCACAACCAACGCATTCCTCTCCACGATCTTCGATACAGTATTCACGCTCACTTGTGTCGGCTGTGCACGAGATTCGCTCTCTTTTCTTCTTTGTGCCTTGATGACATCGGACACTAGTTGACTGGCGAATGGAGACAGACCGTCGTTTGCCAGCTTGAAAGCGGCAGCTGCTTTTGCTAATGAACTACTCCCAGCTGACATCGCTCTATCCACCAAGTACAGAGTGAACCTGTGCTCTTCTGACAGCGATGCCGGTAAACTTTTGGACCAATTGATTCTTCTCTGGTTCTCCCCCGCATACGCTTTCATCGTCGATACTGCTCTAGCTTCAATTGGTGCTTTTCCGAGAGAATCCACCAGATGCATCAGACCAGCCCTTTCCGCCTCCTCAACCAGACTCTCAAAGAACGCTGCTTTGTGCCCTTCTGAAATCAGATTAATAATACTCTCTTTATCCCTTCCTTATACTTCCTTTCCCCGGGTGGGTGGGTGGGTCTACACAGTTTGATTTTTATACCGAATTCTCGCCATCGCGCTACTAAAGGCCTGAAAATCTTTGTAAACAGCCATGGAGCTGTGCTCAAACCAAATAGTAGAGCCACGAATTTAAAATACGGAGGAGCATGGGGATTAGAAAGAGAGAACGCGAGCAAATCTGTAAAATTGTCTGCAATTCTAACGTGATGATATCCGCCACGAAAATCAAACGTCGCAGCATACTTAGCTCTCTGCAGAAATGGCCACGCAGTTTTCCAGTCTTCTAACCTAAAATGAGGCGGAGTCAGACTCTTATTCAACTGTGATAGATCCAGAATCAACCGTTTTTTCTCACCGTTCACTGCCACATGTAAACTCGACACCACCTTCGGAGAAACCGTCTCGACCACCACACCAGACTCCACGAGTTTATTGAGCTCTGTAAGAACAAACTGTTTGTTCTCTCTCGCTGATCTTCTCAGTCCCTGTGGACTAGGGAGCCAGGCTCCGTTTAACGGTATCAGATACCCATCTCTAATCACACTCTTGATAAACTCATTATCAGTTAACTGGCTCCAGAAGCCATACTTTTCAGTCAGACTGAACGGAGAAACCATACCTTCTCTGTGGACAGCCCGTTGCATAGTGTCCCATCCTGTGACACGCGTAACATTTGACTGTCGATTTTCTGAAGCCATCTTCTGAATTCGCCTCGCGATCGTCGTAAGTTCTCTTAATCGGTCTTCTCTGGAATTCCTCGACTTGTCGGCCATAGAAGTCGCCGCGGACTCCCCCTGGCCTGTAGGAGGAGCCCGCTGATCGAAAGAACTGGTCCCGTTTCGGAGGATGACGATTCAAAGATGTAGACGCTCCGGTTGATATCATCTGAGCCATCGCTATCCATTTTGCATCCATCGAATCCAAAGGAACTCCGCTAACTTGAGCAATCGCCTCGAACTGTTCCTTCGCCTTGAGAGCATTCGGATTCTTGTCAAGCAACATCAACTCAGCGTTCCGAGCTCGGATCGAATCTACCACTGATTTTATAGTATTCTGCCAATTCGATTCATCCGCTCCCGTCAACAGGTTAATCCACTTTGTGTTTGCTTCCGCTTGTTTCAACAAGCCCTTCTGCCCAACTTGAGGGACCTTTTCTTCCTTCTTTGCCGACTTTTCGGCGACTACCTCCATGCATTTCGAAAGAAACTCTGCCATGACAAGCTCGATATTTCCATTCGAACCCGATTCTGTCCCTGAGCCAGAAATACTTGAATCTCCAGCGTCTCCCATTCTCTTCTCGCGAAAAAATCGAAGAACCTTAACGAAAATTAAGATTTTGCGACAAACGTACGAAAATAATAAAGAAAAACCTCAATTTTTACCCGAAAATGTCTAATTCTTGACAAAAAACGAAAAATTCAACCAAAAATCAACAAAACAACCTGCTTCAGCTCTACACAGTTTGTAGAATGACGAACGAACGCGCGGCGCTGCTCCTGGAGGTCTACTTCGCTGCGGGACCCGCGGCGGCCGGAAACTCCTTGCGCCTTTAATTGGTGTGCGCCAAGCCGCCGCCAAAACCGGTGGAAACGATAAATTACATTGCAATTTCCGAAATTTCGCTCAAACATGTGTCGCAGGAAAACATAAAATTCTTCCCTCCAATTCCCTCTTCTTTTATAGAAATCTCCCAGAGGTCAATGGGTCATCAAGGGTTTTCACTTTTTACGTCGCTTTTTTGGTGGAGAATTTAAATTTTTTTTTGCAATGCGGATTTCTTTTTTAAATAAATAAAGTTTTCGTCACGTTTAAATAAAACTTGAATGTTTTTTTCTGAAATCTGTGAAACTCCTTGAAAAGACTGTCTATTTGAACTTATTCATCTCGTTTCTTGTTGGAGATATCGAAAAAGTGACAACGAATGAAATGTTTAAAATATTAAGGCAAACATTTTTGTTGTTAAAAGTTTTTTGATATCTTTTATAGGAACTGAGAAAATGTTGGTCAATGTGGACTATTAAAAGATACCGTATATACTCTTCCAAGCTTTTACCGGAAGCAAGATAAAATTAATTGAAATTGACCGTACAGTCATGTTAAATTTTCTGATTACAAATGAAGGTGAACCGAAATCTTCTATCAATTGCTGTTTCATACAAGTATTATTTTCATTGTTCAAAAATTTATTGGCCATAAACTGAGTTGTGCGAAAATTACATTACTTAGCCACACATTTTGATTGTTATTAAGTCGCTAATGACCATTCCATAGCTAGAGCTCTGAGTTATAGTTATGTATATCCCTTGTGTAGGGTCTCCCACAGAAGATTCACAAGTTTCCAATTAATTATTGACCTACCAGGAAAAATTTCGGTGTGTCATGTCTGGAGTAAAATTTCAGCATTTTTTATTTGATTTCGTGGAGATTCGAGATGATTCAAATGATTTTTGAAAAATTGATTAATCATAGAATCCTGTATGGTCCTGTTCCGGAAAAAATATTCCAAGAAAAGGCAAATTTTCAAGGTTTGATACGGAAAAAAAATAGAACTCCTCTCTCATTTTTCAACATCAATAGAATTTTTTTCGGCTCAAAAGAACCGAAAAAATTTGCTCTTCAATTCTTATAGAAAACATTTTCGATTTTCCCGCTTTTTTCTTTTTGAATCAAACAACCTCACAAAATCGCATTTTTACCAAGTTTTTTTAATTCGCAGTTTGTAAATCTTCTGTGGGAGTCGTGACAAAAATTAACACATACAATGTTAAAGTAAGCAATTTTGAAGATGAATGAAACGGAAACGAATTGGAAATTACCGACTTTTGGAAAATGACTCGAGATAAATTATTTTGGATACAGAGAGACAATATTTTCTCGTCATTAACGAAGCCCAATGGACAATGTTTTCTGTCAAATACTGATTATGACCTCTTGCAACAGTAATGTTTTCAGCTAAATATAATTTTTTTTTTTCAAATTTCTGAAATCAAAATTTGGATGATCGAAAGCTATGATTTTATTAAGCAGACAAGGAACATCAAGCTGGTCCTAGAGGTTTTTAGTAATGAAGACTAATGAAAGTTTCATGTTTATTGTTGTTCATTGTCTGCTTTTTAAACTCTTTCTCTTTTGTTTTAGAAAATGAGCAAAATTTGAAAAAAAAACTCCAATCAAGAATACATCAAATAATTTCCTTTAAAAACTATTAAATAAAATATATGAAACAGAAGCACATTTGGGCATACCAACCTTAACTGCTCCAGCTGCATTGTTCTCGTGAATCTCGATTTGCTACGCCGTCGATAGCTTCAGAATCTCCTCGACGTGGAGTGAATTTGCAACCTGAGAGAAGGTAAATGATAACTATTCAATTTCATTTTTCTATAAAATTTGGTTCCTTTCCGCCATTAGGCTAAAACTCAGCTCCTGCTTTTCGCAGATAATAATACCTTTCATTATACTCCTTTTTCTCTAAATCTCCTCACTCTTTTTCCTCATGATAATCATTTTTGTTTTTCACCTCTATTTTTCCATTTGAAAATGGATAAAGAGAAATTTGTACTCATGCATGAGCGCTTTATGATTCTTAAGACTTGGCTTGGAAGTTAGTGAATATATTTTCATTAAAATTTAGAAGTCTATTTATGTTTTTATTCCTGTTGTTTTAATTATTAAAAATCCGGCAACTAGTTATTTAAAAATAGCCAAATGAAACTGAAACGCTTGTTTCTGAAAAATGGAAGAATCCACTTTAACCTAGTCTATCTCGATTTCTGTCAAAGATATCAAAAAGTGAAAAACTAACAAAATGTTTTAACAAAATGTTTTTTTTATTATGAAAAATATTATATTTGTTCACCTTTTTTTTATCTTTCACAGGAACCGAGATTGATAGGATCAAAGTTGGCGTAAATTCCTGTGTATCTCAAAAAATACCTCAATTGTTAGGCTTACTCCCTTGGGTTCAAGGCAATGGGTCAGAAATCGCGCCCCAGTAAACGTGAGATTTTAGAAAAAATTCGCTGCTGAATTATGTAACTGAGGATCAAACTTTTAAACGTTGGACAAAAAAATCACGCGTTGCAACTCCTTGATAAAAACTAATTAGGTAAAATCCATGTCAACTTGGAAATTATTAAATTTCTTCTGGCCTAAAGGTTATTTGGGGCGCGTTTTTTTGACCCGTTGGCTTGAACCCAAGTCTTTACTTACAAGGGAAGGTTTTTCAGTCAACGGTTGAGAATTTGCTCAAAATTTGTACAAAGGCACTTTTTTCGAACATGCTGAATCCGAATCCAAAAAAATTTTTAGCCCGTTCTCAAAAGGAGCCGAAATATGGCCTTTGAAATTGCTTTTAGTACTAAATTTTGCCCAAAAACATGCATTTTTCGACGTTAAAAATTAGTTTTTCAGGATTTGCTTGAGTGCGAAACTCATTTTTGGACATTTTTCTATCTTCTAAAGTAACTTTTAAACATTTTCAAAAAAAAATTTTTTTGAAAAATTTTGAAAAAAAAAATCACCATGGGGTCCCCCACACTTCGAAAATGATTTTTTGAAAATTTTTTGAAAAGTGCGAAAAAACGTTCCAATTATTCAGAAACGATAAAAATAGCATTCTGACAAATTCTTTCAGCCCAATGTTGGTTTTGGGCTCAAAAAATTTCCAAAATCTGATTGTTGTTAGAACTTTGAAAGTTCTTAATTTCTGAAATATTGCTTGAACTTAACTGAAACCTATAGAAGTAGGTTTGAATCTTGTATGTGATCGGTTTGACAGTACCCCATTTCAAAAAGGCAAAATTGAGCAACTTTCAGAGACTGAAATTTTCGTTTTTAACGATACGAGGATGTAAGAACCGGTCAAAAAGACCATTATCTGTTTTTTCCTCAAACTCTCATGAAATCTTTTTTTCTTTAAAAACTTTTGAAATTAATCAAAAAGTGTCATATAGTGCCTAGGAGGGCAAACTTGGAATCAAAAATTAGTTTCAAAAAATGCAAAAAAAAACTTTTACCACAGTGGGGGTCGAACCAGCATAGTCATCCTAATGAGTCACCTTCTTACCACAACACCACACAACCGATATTTTCCTCTCACGCGGAATTGGTAGAGGAGGGGAGGGGAAGCCGAAATCCCCAGCGCACCGAAATCGGCCCAAATTTTCAGACAAAGTTTTTCGGCCTGGGAGTGAGAACGGGCTAAAAATTTTTTCGTCATCGTATAGAGCATGTCTTAAACTATAAGTACCGTAAAACCTCAAATAGACCGACATGTCGCTCTATTTTTCAAACGACTTTTTTCTTGTCGCTCTATTAGAGGTGACGTTCAATTAGGGGCTGCCGTTCTATTTTTCAATGAAAAAAACCAAACACAACAAAAATTTTATCAGAAAAAAAGCAACAAAAAGATCAACAAGTATTAAAAAAACAACAAAATTTTAATCAAAAATGAGCGAAGAGTCACTATCTCCTTGATATTCTTCCTCACTGAGGTCGACTTCTTCGATCAGATCTTCCAACTCCTCCAATGATCGTTCCATGCGTGCTTTTTTCAATGCATCCAATCCACCTGGAACTTCCGAGTTTGTCTTGAAACAGTGAATCAAATGATCTTCGGATCCTCCTGGGACTGTTGTTAGAGCGCATCCTTTGAATGATTTTTTAATCAATTCATCTGGAAGACTTTTCCATGCATCGACAATCCACTGAAGATAGATATCCATTGGCGGAGCTCGCATGTTTCCAGATTTAGTATACGTTTTTAATCCATAAGTCATCCATTCTTCATATGATTGGCGAATTTTCGATTTGAATGGGGCGTTCCAAAAAACATCGGGTGCCTGATCTTGAAACTCCAACGCATGATCTTGAAACTCCAAAGTTCTTGGCAGCTTTTGAAATGTCGAACTTTAAGGCAAAGCTCACAACGGAAGATTTGAATGAGATGTCATAGTTTGAACGTCGTTTCGTTGCTTTCGGTGCTTCCACTGATTTTTCGCCGTCTAATTCGTCTGATGAGCTCATTTTTAATCTGAAATTTATTTTTTTTTTTCGCACCAAAAATCATTTAAAATTAAAAAGAAAACATTGAAAAATAGGGAATAATAAAAAAAAAGGAGAAAAAAGATTCGAGAGTTCACGCGCGGATGTCTTGTGTTTGCGTCGCTACAGTAGTTTTGGAAAGGGTGTCGCTCTATTAGGGGTAGGCGGCTGTCGGTGTATTAGAGGCTGTCGGTCTATTTTTAGAATGCAATTTCTCGTGTCGGTCTATTAGGGGTGACGTTCAATTAGAGGTGACGGTCTATTAGAGGTTTTACGGTATGCAAATTTTGAGCAAATTCTCAACCGTTGTCTAAAAAACCTTCCCTTGTTAGCTTTTTCGAAATATAATTGTTTTTTTCTAAATTAATCTTTTCCTCAATACTTCAAAATATATCTACAGTGGGAAGCATATCTAAATATGGCCCAAAATTTCCAGAATTTCATTTTTGCTCTGTTTCATGCTTTTATCAATTTTCGCACTCACTTCTCGGTTTACTATATATTCATAAATTCTTCCCGTTCCAGACCATGACCTCTCCTCGGGGTACTAACCTGGCACTTTTGAAGAAAATGTTCGAAGGATTTGAAGAGTCTGACTTGCCAGTTCCGAAGACCCCATCCACCACATCTACTCCACGATTGACTCCAGCTGGATCTTTCGGATCTCGAGGAGCTACGTCGTCGTCAGCTTCAAATCTTCGTCCAAAAAGAAAGTCCATGGACATTGCCTATGCTCAGAACGCTTACAACCCGTATGCCAAGTATTATTTCAAATACTCATTTCGGAAATGATTTTACTGTTTTATGATGATTTGAATTTACTGGTTTTCTATTGTCATTCACTTTGTTTGTCATCGCGTCAAGGTTTACCAATCAATTTCAAGTTAATAAAAATATTTAAATCTGAAAAAATTGTTTTTAACTCGCTGACCCTGGTCCAGAAAATTAAAAAAAAAACTAGGCCACTGCCAGGACTAAATGGACCAAAAAAGCCATTACCCCTTTCCCACACTCAAAAGAGCAAAATGAAACCCAAACCTAAACAAAAGCGAAATGGATAATGATGAAAAACGGGCAACGAATTCATTTCCCTTTCTCTCTTTCTCTAAATCTCTCTATCTCTAATATCTCTCTCACTCATTGCCCCTCTCAATGTGCCTTCCAACACTGACCACCAGCTGCTCTTCCACAAATGCTCTTTTCCCATCTGTCTACGTCTCTTCATCTCCTACACTCTCGGACGTCTTCTAGTGTCAATGTCTCTCGTTCCTCGTTCCGGAGAGAGCTCCCTGGGAGACGTGTGTTTGTGTTATCTGACAACACCAGTGAGAGAGAGTATGTCAATCATGGAGGATTAGAGAATCAGAGTGAGGATGTATGCTCTAATCTCCGTGAACACGTATTCCTTATCAGTTGAAATGCATGGCATACCTGGTGTTCTTATTTTTGTTCCGTTTTGAAATTCCCTCCTTGTTTTTATATTTTAAAGTCAAACTTTATGAAAACTTCACTTTTGTTGCTTTAACATTATCTAAAAGTGTTTTCTGATAATTCGCATTCTCGTATTCGAAATGACTTTCTCTGTTTCATTGAATTTCGATAGTTTTCCTCCTTTTTTTCATTTTCAATGGTTGCATTGAATCAATTTTTCAAAATTCACAATTTCAAAGAATTCACAATTACTCTATTGGAAGATGGTACTCACTTGCTGTCAAGTTTTCGATCCCTTTGAAGTTTTTGGAAAGTTTAAAATAGACTTGGATTGAAAACACGAATTCACAGATTTTTTCGAAATTTCTAGTTTTTCAGTCAATTTCTGAAGGACATTAGGTTTTTCACGTTTTCAGTATAAAAACAAGCCGTTCTAACCTGTTTCACACTTTCTGAAATTTTCAAAGTGATCGGACACTCGAAAGTCGATCTCTAGACTACTGAAAACGCCAAAAACCAACTGAAAAATGCCGTATTGTATATGTTTCATATCTCCTTCTCCTTATACGGTCAAAGCCAATATTTTTTCAAAAAATTCAAAAATCAAACTTCTCAGTTTCCTAAGATCTATAAACTCTCAAAAAATCATGCCATAAACTTGTTGTCATTCTTGCATCCTTTTCTAATTAAACATCACCTTTCAAAAAATGTTCGAATCCTTCCAAAATCCCACTGTTCCCTTTTTCTCTAGTGACTCATAGTTTGCAAAAGTTCAACCTTTCTTCACCTTTTCCGAAAATTTATTGTAGTTTGACCCTTCCTTCTCCGATAGTTTTTTCTCTTTTCCCCGACTCAAAATGCTTCTTCTTCTCCTTCTTCTTGAAAATGTTTTCTCCGATTTTCGCGCCTCCTCCTACTCCTATTTATACAACACCAAATGAAATATTAGATGATGGGCGGTCGAAGAAGCCTCTATTTACAAATAGATCGACACCTTTAGTTTTTTTTTTCTCTATTTACAAATAGATCGACACCTTTAGTTTTTTGTTGTTCTTTTTAGCTCACATCGTTTTTTCGATATATCATAAGATTTAGGGGGGTTTGTTGTTGTTTAATTATAAATTAGAAACAAAAAAAACTATTTTTAGTGCAGAACAGTCAAAATTGAAGTTCTACAAAAGCAGTTTAAATTCATTCGATTTGTCTGAGAATTTCAGAGTGTACTAAACAAAAATAGGGCTTCAATTTTGTAGTTGATAACTTTTTTGTAAAAATCCAAGATAATGAGATGAACGGCTTTAGAGTGGTCCAACTATCGTTTCAGTGCTAATTTTGGCATTTCTTAATTTATAGAAAAAATTTGAATCACGTATGAATCAAGCTCTGAATATTTCTCGTTCAAGATCTGAAAATTATGAAACTGATTAAATTTTTTTCAGTTTTTGGAAAGTTTAGATAATCTGATTTTTAAATATTCCTCATTAACCATCAAAGGTCATATCTCATATTCTCACATCATGAACATATCCTAAATATGTGTGTCAGATTAGATCTCCTATCCCGATTATTCGCATTATTCTTATTTTTATTAATTTTCTAGGAAGAATAATATCAATAACAATTCACACTGAAGAAAAATTGATTTTTTGAATTTCTCTGTTTCAAAATGATCGTTTCAGATGCTCAAAGATTATAAGATCAATACTTCTTTCGTTGACAATTAAAATTTTTTGAAATTTTCCAAAATTTTGAGTCTAAAAGCTGATCCTTTCAGAGACTATTTAACTACAGTACAAACCAAAAATGTATTGAAAATTATGATTTTATTTCTGTTTCATATTGGTTATTTCAGATGGTCAAAGGTTTTAGGATCCAATGTTTTGATCATACAAAAATAGAGCTTCAATTTTGTAGTTGACAACTTTTTTTGGATCTATTCGATTCCAGGCGAAAGAAATTATTAGAATCATCCAAAATTTTTTGAAATATCGGCTTTGAAAGCTCATCCTATTATACACAATTTAACTACAGTACAAGCCAAGAGATTATTGAATTTGCTGTTTTATGTTAGTTGTTTTAAAAGCTTAAAGGTATTGGATTCTATTACCTTGGCAACATTTATTACAGTATTGACAAAAAAAAGTATTTCGAATTTTGCCGATTTTCAATTGTAAATGGTTAACTTTGGAGTCCTAAAAAATGGTCCAGATCTTCACGATTTGTCTGAAAATGTCATAGTATACTGAACAAAAATAGAGCGTCAACTTTGTAATTGACAAATTTTTTGTAAAAATTCATCCAAGTGAGATATACCGCTTATCACAAGTCTTAACACAATTGTTGCATTTGATTGATTTCAAGCGGTATATCTCACTTGGATGAATTTATAAAAACGTTTCGGGCAGATCGAAAAAAGTCTGAACCACTTTTTTAGGGATCCAAAGTTGGCAATTTTTTACTGAGAATAGGTGGAAGCGCTCTAAAAAGTTTTTTGAAAATTTACTGTTCCGTGTACATGTGAAAGTTAAGAGAAGTTTTCAAAACGTAATACGGTTGATTGTCGAAAAAGTAAAATTCGAAAAAAAGCAGTACTACAGGAAACGGATACTCTGTGTAGCAGTAGTAGTAGTAGAGAAAACAACAACAGCAACAAACTTTTCGACTCTTTGTATCTCTTTTCTCTCTCTCTCTCTCTCTCTCTCTCTCTCTCTCTCTCTCGTTCAAATGTCACATCAACTACTTGTCAGTATATCTAAACCACAAATACCAAACGACTTAATCTCTTCTTCTTTTTTCTATTGAATCCAGAGAGACCTCATTACAATATGTCAATCTTTTGAGGAGATTTATGTTTGTACTCCATTTAGATCCATGAGGAAACTCTGGAATTCCTTTTTGGAACTTTTAATTCCACATTCCTATGTTTTTTTTCTGAAAGACCCACACTACTAATAATTAACGTTAAAAAAAATTACAGTTTCATGAATATGTTGTAGCGGTGAAATTTCATTTTTCAGAGATCTCGAGATATTCAGTTTTGAACAATTATAAAGTGCGAGTTTTCGTCTTTCAAGAATGAGAATTTTTCCGTTTTTCCAAGATCTATGAATTCTTAAAGGCACAAAATATAAATATGCTTCACAAACCACTTTTTGTTGGTATTTTAATGCTTCTAGTAGCAGGTAGCTAAGTGATTTCCAAAAATACTGCACCAATCATAAAAAAGACTTGGTGGTTGAAAATTACCGAAAACGTTTTCAGTTTCCAAACATTCCTAAATTCTTTGGACCAGAGACTATGGTGGTTTTGTCATCAAAATCGTAACTGCTTCTTTATCCGTAAAATAACAGATCTAGAGATATATCTAACGTAAACTGTTTTTGCTGATTTTTTTTCTCTGGAAAAGTTTAAAATTAGTTGCAAAGCGTCGTATTTACAAAATGACCAATAACAGAACTTAACAAAAACAGAAGTCACTGTTTCAAAATCAGATACCAGAAACTTTAGTAAATCTAACATTTTCACGAATTCGATGAAAAAATCAGATTTCTAGAAAACTTGGTGGATATACCGGTCAATAAGATATACAAAAAAGGCTATTTTCAGTTGATCTCGGCATTATTAGGAGTCTGGAGCACGGCTCTCAAGTTTTCGATCTCTTTGAAAACTTTGAAGGATGTAACACAAGACCTAGATTGAAAACTTTGCATTCACAGAATTTTTTTGAAAGTTTCTAGATTTTCAGTTATTTGCTGATTTTTGAAAGACAACTATTCTTTTACCATGAAAAAAAACTTTTTTTGATCACTGTTACAAAGATATTTTAATTTTCGACAATAATTTTTTAATCAATAAATTTTGTACATTTGGAGCTTTATAACTCTCATATTTCAACAAGTTTTGATGTTTTCTTCATTTCATTTTTGATATAAAAATCGCAATTTGAATGTTTCAATTTGGTCGCTAAACACTTTTTTGGATATTTTCGATAATTCTCTGATTTTGACAGACACTTTATTGATTCCTGAAACTACCCGATCTGAGTAGGGGAGGGGAAACGGGAAGGTAGGAGAAATCGGGTAACTTGGGAAGTGATGGCGTTCCACAGGGGAACAATTGAAGAAAAATAGTCAGAGGAGTAGGGCTGAACAATAATTAAGTTCATAGGGCGACGAGGGGAGGAGGAGTATTTGACATGTGCATTTAGGTTAGGAAAGTAGGCGGAGCCATTTAAAAATTTATAGAGAAGAATTAGTTGAGCTTTTAGCCTACGATGTCGAATGGAGAACATATTGAGGATAGAGAGACGATCAGAATAGGAACTGTATTGGATATTACAACGCTGGAAAATACACTTAGAG